AGCTACCCCTCGTGGACTTTGCGTGAGACCATAGCATTTGTTCACGGTCATTAGTTTCGGAACCCTTTTTGTGATGAAAATGACATGACCTGTATTTGCAATGGGTTAGCATCAGATTACAACCGCTTGAATGCCAATAAGGGACAATTTTATTTTAGATCAAATAAAAACGAGCGAGCAAGACACAGCAAAACAGATTAAAACCCAATTCCTCATCCTCTAATGCCCATTTTGATGAAAAGGGTCAAGCTCCAGGAAAGCAGGAAGACCCCTAATTGCCGTAAGCTTTCTGTAAGCTCTTTCATATAGATTACTTTGTCAAAAATTGACACCAACAAATTTTGGAAATCAACGAGATGCTCATAATCCGTTATATATGGAGATCCGAAAACAACTGCATGACAACAGTTAAGTTCTAGGATTGTTGCAAGGAGACCTTTAATTCAAAATAGATTTTCTGGGTATTTTCGGTTATCTGAGACTTTTTTTAAAAAAGAGATAACCTAGCACATCAAGGAAAGCACTGCTGCAGTTTCACTCCGTATTTTACACCCATTTTTGACCTTAGAATCACCCCTTATTCATTGTTGTTTTCCCCTTTTCGAAGCGCTTATTAGGCTGTTTGGGACCTTGAATAAATTGTTTGGTATTGTTGTGACATTTAAGTTTAGATTCTTGACGCTGCTAATCTGATTGCTTCTGCCGCTGCCATTGTTGCAAGTACTGTCACAGCCATGGCTCCAAACAGCAGTGCTACTGCTGGAAGTCATGCACAGTGACCCTGATTCTTTGTGGATATGTATTGAACAGGCCCAAAAAGGTAGATCGCAGAGGGGGGGATAGCACATATATATATATATAGATATATAGATATACAATACAGCCCCATGTGTGTATACGTGTGCATATCCATGTACAAGAACACATGTACATGTAAAGATGCGCCCAGTAGACACCTGCCGACATGCAAGGTCAGTTGTTTTCAATCAATGCTACAACGAGAGCAGCGAAGCCAAAAGGAAGGTGTCCCTAGAAAGGTACATTGCAAGCATTGGGAAACCAGCAACCACCAAACGGCACACCCTGGTCCCTCCATCTGAAACCCTCCTGCACATCCTCAACCCCATGCCGCTTTCACACCCTTAAACTCAAAGATTGTCGGCTTTCGGATATGACCCCGGACCCCTCACTCGTCCACCTTAATCATCACAAGCTTACACCCCCCTAGAGCCTTAAATGCCCTGAGCACAAAGAATCTTGAGCAATTGAGGCCTCGACTTCCGGGTAATTGCCGGCCCCTTTTGGGCTGCTGCCGAAAGGGCCGGCACATTGAAGGAGGTTTGCGACTCTTGAGGGGGGGTATAGATAAGGCTTTGGAGTCTAGGGTTATACGGTTGGGGGATGTAAGGTTGGGGTTTAGAGGTCGGGGTCAGGCGTTCGGGTGCAGGGGCTCAGGGATTCACGTGCGGCTGCATCAAAATTTTGAAGCCTTCGTTTGGGCCACAGAGGGGGTCCTGCAGGGACATTATTCCTGGGCAACTTAACATTGTCGCGAGAATGCTTGCATGTAATTATTGAGAAGTAAGTATTTCGTCAGGGTGTCAACATCCTGGTTCTGGGAAGGGCATTGTTGGACTCCCCACGAAAAGCAGGCTTCCATTCGGAAGCATCTGTACACCGAGAATGACATATTGATTGGGTGGCAATATGCAGCATCTACTCACTTTCATTCCAGTGCTGTTTTGGCTGAGTGATTCAGTGACGGTGTTCAAGAGGACGAAGGAAGGTGTTTGGGAGGACGGGGGACGGGCAGGGGAGTTCAGCTTTAACAGTAGACCTTCCCAAGCCTTTGGTTCTTATTCTGGGTCTACATGAGGTTCAACGTTGGTTTCCGAAAGGCACAAGCCCGCCCCAAAGGGGTCTAAAAATTCGATGCCCTAGAATTACAGCAACTTACGCCCTGAGGCACCGCGTTTGTGGTTCATGAAATAGCATAGAATTCAAGCATTTTATAGCTTATGCTCTTCTTACACAAATATAAGGTTTACCCTTTCAGATATAAGTAGATCCTCCCTTGGGGGTAGGCCACGGAGCGGCGCCGCAGCCACCATGGAGGCTCTATGGCCTTGGGGTCTCCTGGCCTAGATGGGAACTTCTCAAAAATTGGTTCCCCAAACATGCCTCCAACATCATAGGGTTCTTAAGGTAGACACTCCTCACAGAGGTCCGGAAATGTGAGATAACCCCCAGACATTCAGAGGGCTTTCTTAGCGAGGGTCCCTGAATCTGTCCCACGTCTTGTGATTGCTCAGGAGCTACTACACCTGGATGAAAGCGTGTGTGCCAGCCGCAGATTGATTGCAGTGGGTCCGGGAGAGCTGGCCAGGATTCGCGAATTCTCAACAAGCAGTGTGGGGCAAGGCCTGCGTGGATAGAGCAGTCCTCCGGATACTGCGCGGAGTTGTCTCGGGCATGGAAACCAATGACGAAAGCCCCCTCGCAGACGGTAGCTTCTGGCATGCTGATGACGGTCAGGGAGAGACGTGAGACTGACACCAGATGAGCCCGCGTTTCTTGACGAAGGCGGTGTCCTCGTTCAGCAGTTGAGCACTCACAAGGATCAGAACGGCATCACTCAAATTGTTGATAGCAAGCTGAATTCACTCGAGCGACAGATAGGAGACGGCAAAAACTGAAAAAACTCGCAGCCCGACGATGCTGTGCCATGTCCAGCAATAGGATAGGAGCAATCTTCCAACTCAGTCAGTCTAAATGACGAGATGTTGTTGCAACCTGGAGCGTTCCACCTCCAAGATGCGCCATTCGCGCTTTACCCGTGCCCCACTTAATTACGGGTTGTCACTTTTGTGAGCGTGATCAGGATGAGCTGGGTTGTGGCTTTTGGAGGTTTGGGTTGAGGCCTCGGATCTTTGCCATGCTTGTTGCTTTCTGTCATCTAGCATGGGTGACGAAACAAGGTGTACAAACTCCAGTTACGAGCTGCAGCCTTTATTGACCCTCTTTGACGTGGCGGTGTTGTTGAAGCAGAGGCGACATGAAGGCAAATCAAGGAAAAAGACTCGCTTGACAAACATGCGTGAATTGCATTGATCCCTGCTGATGGAATTTGCGATTCATTGCCACAGGACAATCTTATCACAGGTGGAGCCTCCCAGTAGGCAGAGGCAGGAGTGGCCTGAATCTTCAGTTCCGCATAGGTCCTAAGCCGTATAGGAACTAGCCTTGTAAATGTTTGTTGCAATGTCCAGCTCTCTCACACTTTGTACAACAACAAGAGAAATCTGCGCAGGTGAAAAGAACCCTAAATGCAAGCACAGCATGAAGCGTTCGCTAAACTTTCTGAAGCTCTACAGCATCCATCCAAACAGCAGCTGACTCCGAACCCTGTGCACTTAGCCCCCAACCCGCTGAGCCCTTAACACCCTAGCCCGCGGAGACCTTTAACCCCCTTCACTCCAACCCTCGGAACCTACAAACACCAGGCCCCAACTACCGACAAACCCTTAGTCCTCAATACCCCAGATTGCTATCCCTGCTATCCAAAGAACTCTCGCAACACTGAACCCATAGACCCGACACCATGGCGCCTGGTCGCCCTGCCTTCCTCCGAGCGCGGACGCTGCTGGCGCTGGGGCTTCGGCGGCGCGAGCCAGCTCCGTGCGGCTTGGACTCTAGGGTTCAAGGGGGTTTGAGGTTGAGAGTTGAGAGCTTGGGGTTCATGGTTTAGGCTGGCCAGAAGTCAACGCTTCAAGTCTGAGGTCTCAGAGCCAAGCCCGCTTCTTGAAGGTCCGTTCTCGGCCTGGCCTTGCTCAGGTAGCAAACGTCAAGGAGCGTACGAGTGGCAATGGCGCGGCTTTGCAGCCCGCAGAGCAAGTCTGAAGGTCGGCCGCTTTGAAAAGTGTGTGTTTGTGAGTTTCAGCTTAGGCGTTCCAGGGTTATAGACAACACCAGAGACTGAGCCCTCAGACAGATCTTCCACAAATTGCATCATGTACCCTGGATGCCGATAAGACACTTGAGGTATCTGGCATGAGAAGAGCTACACTCCGGTCAACGCGTGTAAACCTGGAGCTCGGCCTTGCCTCGAACACTACATTTTTTCAGCCCTGAGGCCTCAAAGCCCCACGCTCGAAATGAATCCCGACAATGGTCGGTCCTCTGACCCATACCAAGCATAAGCAGAATTAAGGAGGAAAACGAGCACAAAATCATAGAACTCAGGAGCTACTTGTAGCCATGGACACAGGCTGAGGCCTTTGCTCAGTTCGGGTTGAGAGGTAAGGCCCCCCAAAATCGAGTGGAGCCTTCAGATGCCAGGTCCCCAAACCATGGCGCGCCCAGTTGCTGATACTTGGCTGCTATCCAGTTTGGGTTGCTTGTCAGCCTCCTTGTCAAAAAATCCTCTCCTCAAATTCGGTTCAGTGCGGCCGCTTTGCAGGGAATTGTTTACTTGTTGGTATTGGAATCTCGGAGCAGTGTCCATGGCTCTGCGTCATGGCTTTTGAAGATGAACCCAATTTACTCATTATAAGCCCGCTGTCTACGGGTTGTAAATTCCTGTCTAAGTTCGCATCATGAAAATACAAGTTCTTTGAACAAAGAAGCGCAGGAAACGGAAGCGTGAGACAATTCCACAGCATCCTCACCCCGTTCTAGCTTTTCAAGGATGGTTGAAAACTTCAGGATCTCTGTCGGCTTGGGCAGCTCAGTTGTGGCGGCTGTTGCCTACTCCAAGAGTGCCCGGGTGTGAAAGAGCAATTAATAGTTTCGTCAAGCTCGAAGCTAGGCGCGTAGGTAGCCCCAGGATTCTGCTGCAGGGTTGTCAAAATCATGGCTTGTTTTGCTTGAATGGGTTAGGATCCTACTCGCGCAGCATACGAGGGAATCCCGCCAGAAAGCTCCTCTAGCAACTTAACGAGGACTGCAACAGCGAAAAGCAGAGATGAGTTTCCTCAAGTTTTTCTTAGCAGGTGCTGGCAATGAGGACGAGGCAGTCTGGGCAAGCAGGCGCGGACCTTTGGCTCCTTGCTGTTAAATAGCAGGCCTGGATTCTTTGGGGAATCCATTGGGACGCATGTCATGTCTCGGAGCCCAATAGGTGGATCTCAATTTTGCATCTCAATTTTGCTGAGCGATCAACTTGAAAAGCTGGTTTTGCTAAAGGAAAGAATTTCCCCCAGAGCTGTATGTGCGAGGCGCACCTCTACACTCAGGAAAGCCAAGCTCTGGACTCTGAACTAAGCATGACAGTGAACTTTGGGGAACCATGCGCAGCAAGGCTTGGAACTCACAGAGAGCTCTCGAGCTGGCGCCACTCATTCCCTGCATTGGCAGTGGGCTGGTTGCAGTGTGCATCACCAAAATGCAACTGGGAAGCGATTAAGGGTGGGCCGAGCTTGGATTCCATGCATCTTCATCTTATGTTCAGCGAACACGACGTCAGGATGTTTTGTGCAGCGCCCATGCCCAAGGCGGGAATGATAAGGTGGGTTGTTCTGGCGATGAGCCTAAGGGCCTACCTAGGACCCCAATGTAGGGGCATGTTGGACTCAAAGGAGCGACAGATTCCTGAATTCCAAACCTTTGGGTCCAAGTCTTGAAGCAGATGCCGTTACCCAGTCCCTGAAGACGCTACCCCACACAGCAGATGCCAGCGAAAAGATTATGTCATGTGCATTTGAAGGCCCCCACTGTTCCAATACAACGATCATCAATGCCTTCTAATGACAATCAAACAAAGCAGTGGAACAATTTGCCTCTGATCCCCTACAAAAAAAAGTAATTGACTGCTCATGGGTGCTTCTGGGATGGCGCCCCCTTGATGTGGGCAAACCACCGCAGTTTTCAGCAGTTTTGTAGGGAGCATATACCTGGCCATTTCTGAACTACAGTGCGCCGATAACAGACGAGAGGGTTGCCGCAACAGATCAGGATATCCAACAAGATATCTGGAAGCAGAGAACACCTTCGGAGCCCCCACAAGGTACCCATGCCAGATTGCCAGCTTCCGAGTTCCTGCGAACGTGCATGAGCTGGTCGCTCTGCCGCTTTCTATCCTACTGGCTTTCCGTTTCTTGGCTGTAATCCAGGAAGTGTGTCAGTTTTCCACGTTGCTCTATAGAGATTGAGGCCCCCTACAAACATGCTTCCTCTTCAATCCCCATATTTTGTTGGCAAGGGCTCTGTCTGAGAAACCCCAAACCTTAACTGTTGAGCCTGAACCCAATCATGCTAAACCTTCATCACTTAATCCAAGCCCCATGCTGTCTACCCTTCTCCCATGTTTTGGAAAGGTTTTCAACTGTCCTATGATCGCTGGTGGCAGTCAAGGCAGCATGTCCAGGACGACTGAACACAAGGCAACTGAAATCTGATCTCTACACTGAATGTAGGAGGGCCCTTATTTTCGGGCTAATGCGGCATTGCAAGATGGGTCCGCATATGACACTATGAGCTTCCTTGACTTTCAGAACCACGAATAGAACGAGGACTGTTGTCGAGAGACAGGCGAATGCCTGATACTGTAGAACTTGTCTTCATCTTCTGTTGTGCATCTTACTCATGCTGAATCCTCTGAGCACTAGTGAATGAATATCTCTACTTGAAAGTAAAGCTTAAATCCATGCCAAAAATCGAGCTTGTGACTCGAAAGCAAGATGCCCGCGCGCAGGACGTTGGCACAAATGCTGTTGCCATTGCCATGTCAGCGGCGAACAACCAGGACTTGGGTTTTTGCGAGGGCCTGGGATTGAGGTCCCAGGGCCAGAGCAGGGTTGGGACGTGTGATTGGGGTTGAGAGCAGATGCATGGTTCGCAGTGTCATGCTATGCCTTCAAATCTGTGATGAGCGTGTCTGGTTTTACAGGAAGTGGTAGCTGCCAGCTTCAAGGTCGCCTGCAAAAACTTTCATGGCGCAGCGTGCAAGAGAATTTTGTGGCATACTCCAAAGAAAGTCCTCAGAAGCTTCGTGACCAGGATAGTGCACCAGCCTCAAGTCCTCACCCTGCACGCTTGAACCGCTCAAGGTGTCAGAAGCTCGGATCCCTGAATCCCTACAAGCTTGACTTCTCAACAGCAATGATCCTGGCGGTGAAGCGGGTTTAGAACAGGAATGGTTACGGGGATAACCAAATCCCGAAACCGCAAAGTCTCCAGAGTAAAGCCACTAAGCACTCAACCCTAAATCCTATATCCGTTCACCCAGTCCCCGTTCATTACCGGTGAACTGAAACCCTTAGAGAGGACTCAACACAGATCTCCCTCACCGGGAAGATCCAGGCCTCCACTTCGTAAGAACAGGGAATCAGGATTTGCAGGGTTCAGGATTAGTGTTTTGGGGGTCTTAGGGTTTAAGGGGTCATTCATTCGGGGTTTGGGGGTGGTGTGACGGGTTTTAGGATTGGGGGTTGTAGGGTACAAGATTTGAGCTTGGGAATTTCGGTTCTGGATACGGGGTGTAGCTGCTTAGGGTTTGGTAATTTGGGGGTGCCCCTGAGGCCTGGCATACGTAGCAGATTTTTTTGCATCTATCTATCTATCTATCTATATATATATATGTATAGAGGTAAGGCACAATCTTGTCCTAAACATTTGCATGCCAGGAATCCGAAGTCCCAGGCCCTGGCCTGCCTATCAATGTTTGACACCGAGCGGCACCACTTACTCAGCTCTAGGCGGCCCTAAGCATCAAACCCATTGCCAGTCGCTACTCGTCGTTGCTGCTAAATGCTACTTTCCCTAAATAAGGGGACCCCACATACACCCCAATATATTTTTATAATCCGTAGTATAGGGACCCCAAAAGGGTACCCCCAATTTTGGGAACCACCCTACTGGCTGCTAAATTTATGAATGAAGGCAGACATCGAGCAGAACGAGCATCGCCTCCTTGGACTGCTGGACGCTGCCTGTGCCTGGGCGCAGAATTGAGTGTGGGCGTTCCTGAGAGTCTAGGGTGTTTGGAGACCGGGCATTGGGGGAGAATCTTTCAGATGTTCTGGAATAAACATGCAGGCCCTCGAATCTTCACTGTCCTGTATTTTTCCTTGCTTCACTCTGTCGCGATTGTCGCTGATTTCTAGGATTCGATGTTCTGGAAATTCTGGCCATCACCAGGGCGCGCGTGAGCTATTCTCAAGTTTATGGGCGCATATGTGGGTACGGAATGGGGCCCTGTCTTCACAACTGCTTACGTCTCATTTCATGAATGCTTGGTTGAGGCCCTTAGTGAAGCAGAGTCTTCGTGTCTCGGGCCTTAAAGGGACCAACTTCATCAAGTAGACCTCCTGATGGTCTTGCAGCAGGAATCATGCTAGGACGGCAGCCATCAACAACATCCTGAGTGCTGCGCCATAGACAAGCAAGCGCAGGTGCCAGCATTGAGAATAAGCTCTCCGCTGGCAAGCCGCCCCATCCGGCCACTCGGGCATTTTTGAATCGTCCGGTCAAACCTTGAAAACTTGACTCTCAAATTCTGACAGGCACGTATTGGGCTAAGCGAGCGTAATCCCCAAGACCCATGTTGGCTATGTATATGTTGATGGATGCCCAAAACAGCTTCTAGCACTCCGTAGAAACGGTTCCTTCCTTCGAGTCAGCAGCTCAAGCTTTGTTGAGCGCGAAGCGGCTGTCAACTTCATGATCGCACGTTCCACGTGACCAATCCCAAGGACTTCACTCCAGGGAAAGTGTTCCAAGTTCGGGTAGCTCTTGCATAGCCGCACAGCCCCTCACATCGATTGCAAAAAAGGCAGGTGCCATTTTGCTTTGCGTCCCATGCATGAAGCACGCGCATGCCCATTAGTTGAGGTCAATGATGCCCATGTTTGGGAACCTATGGACGCCCACCTGGATGAAGCCGATGCCAAAGCTTTCGCAACGGTGTGGATCTCGGGGTCAGGCGTTCGAGGTATGATTTTTTCTTACACGGCAGTGTATTCAACTCAAATGTGGAAGTATTCAATACCCACCTTTCTCCCTCGCCTGCATGCGCTCTTGTTCGCAGTGTGGCTGATATCTTTGATGCTGCCGCAACAGCCTCAATTAAATTTCGCCTATCGGACCACTCGAAGGGGTACGTAGGATGCTGATGCACCGTCTGGCTCTGCAAAAAGAGCCGCCTCCCATCAGTTGCGTGCCTTGAGCGATCTTAGAACAGAGGGTATTCTGGGACCAAACGAGGATTGTTAGTGTAATTGTGCTCTTTTGTTTGTGCTCAGTATCATGGTGGCATCATGATCAGCGTCGCTGGCCTCATAGGTTTCATCGACGCCGTTTGCTACTCTTTCTCTTGGTCTGCAGCAGATCGTACAGGTGTAAGGCGTGCAAAACAAGACACACGCCCTGCAGCTCGAGCTGCATTCCCCCCCCCACCCCCAACTCTGAAAATCAAAAGCTTGATCCATGAATCTCAAACTTCCAGTCCGCAAGCGCAAGCCCAGCCGCTAAGCCCTTAGACCCAAGCCATCCAGCAAAGCGCAAGGCTGGACACCCCACCCTCTGGTGCTTCGACACCATCTTCAGCACCATCCACAGGACCAGAGGGGGAAGTGAGCAGGGCGGGATCTAGGTTTGGAGCCTAAGCGCTAAACATCTACAATGTGAGGTCAAGACTTCTTTGGGATTTTGCAAACTACAAATCACAGCACGACAGCCCAAACCCCTGCAAACCGCACCGACTCGACAGCTCAGCTATACTATGCAAGGCCACCCAAGACCTCACATGAGGGAACGATGCCACCCACACACATGTCCCAAACTGCAATATTCATTGTCCAGAACCTCTAAACCTCCCTCGCTACTTCGCAGGGGCCAGATGCTGGGCGCCTACTCCCCTGAGCTGGCGAGTGGGATGTATGAGCGCGCCACTGCCATGCTCGCCGGCTTCCGGTTCTGCCGCTTGCCTAAATTGACAGGACTGGTATTGCTGGTGGTTTGTGGTTGTGGTTTGGCGGCGGCGGTGGTGGTGTAGCAGCGGGAGGAGGAAGAGGAGCTTTGCAGTACGTTCTTGAAGAACCGGAGAGACCACAAGTAACTGAGGCCAGATGGTGCTGAGGCAGCAGTCGCCAGCTCCCTTCATGGTGCACCTGAGCCGCTCGGGCTCAATCCTCATTCTGAACTCATCCGAGTGAAATGAGATTTCCCATATTTACACCCCAAACCGCAGTCCACCCCTGACAACGACCTTGATCCCGAGCAATCACCACACGAAGTTGTCATAGCTCCTTGCCAGCGGGAGTATCATGACTGTTGCTCCTGCCATATGTGCGCTCCATGGACAAGCTGCCCACTCAATTGTCATAGACGATGAGCATTAGGGAATTCGACGCTTGATTGCTTTGATTGCTGTTCCTGGCACTTACACGGTAGCTTCAGATGTCAGAAGGAATTGCAAGACTCCCTTCATGGAATCTGCACATACTCCATGTTTGCCCAGCTCTGAAAATGCCCTATGTGGACCCCAAAGCCCCAACCTCCAAACTCCAAAACCTGGCATCCTAATTGGACTATACTTAGACCTAAGGAACACTGCTCCTGGTGTTCTGTATCAGCTTTCCATTCACCATCATTGGCTACGTGGGGCCGGTTGGCCTGATGCGCCTGGGCTGCCTTCGCAGACCTTGTTTTTCAGGACCAGGTCTTGTTTTTGCTCCAAGCTTGGAGGGGCAAAGAGTTTAGGGTTCGGGGAGTAGGGACCGAAGGATTAGGGATGATGAGGGTAGGGCATGCCTGCACCTCAACCTGGCGGGCAAACCTCCTCGACCCTTTGAGGAAGACCTTCAAGACAAGAAGCAGAAAAACAAGCATCCTCCAAACCCTAAAGTCCTAAACCTTCTAGTAAGTTTAAGTTTCCATTATCCCAATATACCCCCCAATATGCCAAGGCTTATGCAGATGGCCCTAAGTTTCAGCCTGCTCGGCATTGAGTTCGTCAGCCGACAAATGGAATCTGGGTTGCCATGTCATTTCACATAATCTCCATAATCTTAGCTTCTACATCGCAACCCAGGAACATCCCTTTGGGGCAGATGAGGCCGACATACCCCTCAAGCAGGTGCGGGGAAAAGGGATACTGCTGATGGAAGACGACTTGTTTTCAAGAGTAATTAAGACAAGGGAACCTTCATCTTGGCAAGAACATACACTTCAAGATTTACTGAGGCACAGACGGCTGAAGGCTGGTGCGTTGAGAGACCTATCTGTTAGCCTACCAGGTTCACAGGTTTCTCTAGCTGAGAAAATTATATCCAGTTTTCAGCTGACGGGCAGACAGGGTGGTGGAAGGTTGCTGCAGGCTGCAGATCTGAGCTTCAGGGAAGTTCCATGGACAGATGCCGAGGCTACGAATTCCATGACTTCAACGAGCATTTGTGTCTCAAAAACCTTTTGCTATCCCAGCCATTGAAACATGTACTGTACGGACCCCCAACAAGGGGAACCCTAATCTTGAGATGCCCACGAATTTCATGTTTGGATCTCATGGGCATGTGAGGTTATGGCTGCTACTCGTGCGGTCATTCAGCTGATCCTGATAAAGCATGCTCGCAAGGTTCAGGACATTGAATGAGCCAAGAAGCACATAGTTTATGGGGAAATTGCACAGGGAGACGCCAACCCAAAATCCCTAGAGTCTCACATAGGCATCAGAGTGTTTGGTATACTTAGCAACAGTGCTTCAGGAACATCAGAATACTTCGAGCTTGGCAGAAGCCTGGCCAAAGGCCTTGCCTATGCGACCTGGAAGTCAGTCCTAGGATGTCAAAGCCATGGGCCCTTTTGAGGGGTCCAGTGCTATAAGTAGTCACCTAGCGTTTTGAAAACCATGTACATAGCTGCATGGCCCTGGGCCTAAGGGATCCCGAGGGTCTAAGTGCAAGCATTGCTTTAGGCTCCACTTGGCCGCTGCTCCGTGGGAGACACGAGCGCTTGCTTGTTGCATTGTTTGGATTGGAGATGCCAGCGCAGATTGCGCTGTCAGTTGGTTGCTGTCGCAATTTAACTTCCGTGGTTGGTACCAAAATGGTTGCCATGGTCATCGTGGCTGTTCTGCAAAATTGCGAGCGCTCTTTGAGTCAGTGTATGGGGCCGTGGCTGCTTCAACCTCAAGCTTCTGGACAAAACAGGGTTCAGCATGCGAGATGCAGGCTCAAACCTGTAGAAGCGCAAAGGTTCAAGTTATGTTTTCGCAGGAACCTGCCGGGCAATTTGTGGAAACTCTAGGTATGAAAGCTGCAGCCTCCGATGCCGTCCTAAGTGGTGAAGCATGTGTAGTAGTTCTCAAGTCCAGGTCCTAAGCCCGAAGCAGCAATGCTTAGCATTGCCACTGCAGCCGCAAGTAGCGCAGCCCAGACGCCTCACAGATGCCAGAAGAAGGCTTGGATGATCCTTCTGGATCATTTGCGTGATCATTGCTAAATTCCACATTCCAGGCTGTCGGGCGTTGGGTGTAGCTTTCAGGGTGGGTTCTGAAATCCAAAGTGTGTGCAATCCGGGCAACTATCTATGACGGAAGCTCCTTCCATAAAATCAGTTGCTCTGCCATGCTTCCTATTCTGTTGTTGGCGTCCTGGCGTGTTCGAGTTTGCAATCTGTCGCAAAACCCCTTTAAAAAAGGCGACGCGAACCAGAAGGCTCCAAATTTTCGCAAGCAAGCCTGCAACACCAATGGGTAATCCAATGGCGAAGGCCTAGTTGAGATAGGATTACAGGTTTTGCCTTGTCCTGTGGTTTGCATGATTCCGTGTGGTTCCTTCATGATAATCACCAGGATAGATCATTATTGGAATTGTGGCGGCCAGAACAATGGCGAGGATGACTGTTGTGATTGCGCGAACTCTTGTAACTATGCGGCCAATGAAGAAGAGGGCCTGGAAAGTCACTTGTGCTAGCTACTACACTAACCCGCCAAGCAAAAATCACACTATGGAGTAGTTTGCAATCTGTACGTTAACAATTCGATGTTTTTTTTTGGTTTTTTTGGTGGGGGGGTGTGGTTTGGGTTAGGGTCATAAAATGGATGAGACTTTCCAGGACTGTTTGTTCATGAGCTGCAGGTCCTTTCCATAGTGTTACCCGTAGTTTCAACTTCCTTGCTACCGCTATACCAGTAATTTCAATCTTCTCTGCCATATTATAGCAGTAGTCTTTTGTTTCGGTTAGTACACCATCTGTTACACATCGGTTTACCATATCGAGTAGTTTCCCTTATCTTTCCACTTCCATAGCAGCAGTTTCCCATTTATTGTGCGCGATTCCACCAGCAGTTCCAGTTGCTTTTCCGTTACGGTACCTGGGTCATCAGGCGCGGCCCCTCGAGTGTGCTCGCTGGCCCGCGTCTGCAGTAGCAGGCACCCTGCAGCAGCCTCCTTTCATTTGACCTTACAAATACCGGGCCTGTTTTAGGGATTGCAGGGCTTACGCAGGGCCGGTCCCAACACCTTTCTCTGATTTTTAAAAATAAACTGGGAGCATGCGATAAGACAAACAGCTAGGTTTTTCTGCGGCCATGAGAGATCCACGAACGCGCGGCGAAAGATACGGCATGCTATGGCAATAAAGTAGTTACGGCGAGCAGACCGGGAGTTGTTCAGACATAGCGTTTGGAAGTTTTTTTCTGGGTTGAAAGACCGCGAAAGGGCCGCGTGAGCTCCAGCACGAGTGTGATTCCGGGAAGACAAATGCTGCACAACTTCGTGGGTCATGACGGATTGAAGGGCAATGGAGGGTTGCAGTTTTAGGCTCATGTTTTGGTTCAGAGTATCATTTTGACCTTGGGGTGATCCTGTAACTATATTGGACGCCTGTCAGGCCCTTTGTGTCTCCGCGAAACTCCCTAAACCCCTCCCCATGCGCATACTTATGTAGGGCTGATACTATCACTACGGTTGGGGCCTCCGTATTTCATAGGTGCTGGTTTCACATTGACTTGCGCGTGGCTCGCGCAGACTCGCACAGGGCTCGCGCGGGCGCTCTCTTTAGGCCCCTGTACAACACGATGGTGCCTTAGGACATGGCTTCTAGAGCAGCGGTTCAAAGGTAAGAAGGCCGTTTGTTATGACTTCAGTTGTGGAAAAGGCTTCACAAAATCCATGTTTCCAAGATTTCCAGTAGCTTTCAAATGCCAGCGGTTGCATGCGGAAACGGGTGTTTGTTGTGACTTATGTTTTTTAGTCGTAACGGGCGGTTCCTTGCGGCAGTGCCAACAGAACTGCTTTTGTTATCACTTCGGTGTTCGCCTGTAGCAAGTCAATGCCAGGAGACCAAGTCAGAAACAGCTCACAGGAAATAATTCCTCAAGCTTAAGCGAAGCCTTGCTATCCCTACCAAAGCTTCTCGAGCAAATCACACCTGCACGATCCTTAAGACGGACCCCCTGTACTGCTTAAACAATTACTACGCTCCAAACTCACTGTAGCAGCAGGTTGCCCTATTGTGTTGCTGGCTCTACTGCCACGATGCCGTTGTGTGAGGCACCGGGATTGGGGATTGGTGGGCAAAGCTCAGAATGGGACTTCATGAGACTTTGTAGGATCATGTAGCTTCAGGACTTCATTATGCCTATGTAGGTTCTCATAGGAAACATGGAGTCCTTCAGGATTTCGATCTCCCTCTGCGGATCACATCTTCATGGCATAGGTGAACTGAACAGGAGCAATTCTGATTCAGTGGACTCCCCTGCTAGCACGGTGTTTTTCAATCTTCGGGCATTGGAGCCTGACTGAGGCAGCAGACACGGTGCTACGCAACTGGAGCCTCCGTGCTCTTCGTAGGTGCCTGGCAAAGTGTTGGAAGGGTACAAGCCGTTCGCAACTTCAAGACATAGCCATACATGTGATGCATTAAACGGCACGAGGTCGGGGGTTTGCCTGCAGGGATCTTAGTGTTTTCAAAGGGTTCATATGATCTCTTGGCCCGTCTATCCTAACAACCTCATAGTATCACCTGGCTGAATCCCTACCGTAAGGTTTAGTTGTTAGAGTGTTGTTAGTTAAGCACCAGACTCAACAAGCCCCAAAATCAACGCCACCTATACCTACCTCAAGCTCAACCTGCAGTAGGCTCGCCTGTTTGCTGTTAAGGAACTCAAATTAAGTTACCATAATGGGTATATACAGTCAATAATGGGATTTCCTCTAGGTGGGGTGCCGCCAACAATGCCGTCAGAGACGGTCCTCCAGCACATGGAGCAGCCTCGAGCTTGCAACCTAGAAGTTATGTGGAGATAGTGGAAAAGATAATGGAAACTACTATAGTATATTGGAGTACAGGGTTTAGGGTTCGAAGTCTGCGCGTTGTGTGGGATAGTGGAAAAGAACATGGAAGCTACTACAGAGGGTTTAGGGTTGTATATGCCCCAGAATGGAGAATCAAATGGAAAAGAACATGCAACATGAAATGGAAACTGCTCTATATGGATATGCCTAGCTTGGCAACAACCATTTGGCTGGGTTGCAATAAAACATATGGGTGTAGGTGTGAATTTAGCATTGGGGTTGGGTGGAGTGAGCGTTCAGGGGTTCCGCGGTGGCTACTACCCAACATGGTACAACCTCAGCATCAGGTCTCGCAAATCCTCTGCATTTATGGGGTTTCTGCAAGATTTAAGCAAGAAGGTCCAAAATCCCCAAAATATTCTTGCAAGGGTTGAAATGAAGAGCTCAGATACCCAAAGCCAGAAATCCAAGCTGCTGCTGCTGCTTCCAGGTTTGGGTCTGCCAAGATCGTCAAGCGCTGCAGGGGATATCTCTACGTCAAGTTCACGGACCCAGAGGTCGTACCCAGTGTCAGAGCCGTCCGCCACGTTGTGAACGGTGCTTCGCTGACTGTGGAGCCAGCATTGGCCAAAAAGAAGACCTGGCATTGCCAAATTGATCCTGAGTTTCCCGTACGTGTGCGAAGACTTGGCCACGGAATCGTCCATATACAGAACATGATCTCCATGGCACTTCAGAGACAGCTAGTGCAGCGTGTGCTGAAGCTCGGCCAGTCGCCAACTGGGTTCTACCGGCCCACTTTTGAAGGCCGACAGATGCATCTTAGCACTTTCTGTCTTGGACGGCACTGGGACACACGCTCACATACATATACTCAGGTGCGTTCAGATGCTGATGGCTTCCCAGTGCCTGAGATGCCCACACACCTGCAGGAGTTGGCAAGCGGCATTCAGCACGACCTGAACCAGAAGTGCAAGGAAGAAATGTTTCCGCACATGCAGCCAGAGGCTTGCATCGTAAATCATTACTCCACCGAAGGTTCCTTAGGGCTGCATCAGGACCTGGATGAGAGCGAGGCCAGCCTTCGCGCAGGCATCCCTGTGATTTCCCTCTCTTTGGGCTGCTCTGCGCGGTTTCAGCTCCTAAGATCCTCATTAGAAGTCATTTGCGGTTCATGTGGTGTCCTGTTTGGAAGAAAACCAAACATGCTTGGTTTTTTTCCTGGGAACTTGATGAGCCAGATACACAATGGACCAAACGGAGATGCAGAGCTGCTTGCTGAAATCTGGGGACATTTTCATCTTTGGTGGACCGGCTCGGAAGCTCCACCATGGCATTGCAAAAGTCTTCCCAAAGACTACACCGAGGAAGCTGAAAGACGACATGGCAAAGAAGCCAGGAAGACTCAACCTGACCTTCCGCCAAATTCACTAACAGGGTGGAGGATATTTGCACACGAAAGCTGATCTTCTGAGGGACCTTTGGCGCAGAGGGTTGCGGACAAGGACATCTAATCCTGCGTTCCTTTTCGAGCTGTCGAATGCAGGACCCTGGCCTCTGCTGGGCTCTGAATGAACATTTGTCACTCGCTTCTTGGCACCATCCGCCAAGGGCAGCTGCGCACGCGTAATAAGGGCAGCCGTCCGCTCATCCAACGTCCGACCGGAGGCCTCGATCCACTGAAGCACTACAGTTTCAGGACACGCGCGTTGCTAACTGGATTCCAGCAGCCGCATTGCAGAGCTGAATGTGCCTGCCAAGCCAGCTTGAAAAATCGTGATGAGGAAGTTGTCTTGAAGTTGTCATCTTAGAGACAGGAGATGCAGAGAGACGACTGTGTCGCGTGGCGTAGCATGTGCCAGAGTAGCTTTCTGAACGCCGTCTCCAAAGATGCACAGCATGTTTAAGACGAGGTCAAGCGCAGCAACAACCCCAGCACTTCTAGCCACGACGATACATGGACCTGTCCAGGCAAGTCTCACAGCAAGCAATGCGAACCATTTCCAGCAAGGAAATCTAGGAAGCATGAGTCATGCAAGGAATCAACATGGGAAAGGTACTCCTAGCAAAGATTCGCAGACAGCATGCGCACATGGGCTTCAAAGGCATGGTGCCAAAAACAGGAATGCCTGAAGCCAGTACACCAGGTCATCGTCCCAACAGCGGCTAGCGTAATGATAATTGCTGCAAGCATAGTTTTCTCATCGCTAGTCTGCATGCCGGCGAAGTCGGTCCGTTTGTGGCGGCGCTGTCCCCTCCATGGTCCTCGACTTACGAACCGTCAGCCATCCACCCCAGCCTACCCGCTGGTGAAGTTTCGCGGCCTACAGATCGACCAGGGTTTGAACGTTTTGTGTTCTTGCCTTGCCTGCAGGATTGGCATCACCCTTTGCAGAGTTGACTGTGAATGTCTGAAAATGTCTGATGGATACAAAGATGCACAGACCGGATCACTAAGATCATCTTGCTGTTAGTTGAGACCTGTTTGTGTGTTCTCGCCTATGAACGGGTGCTGCTTTTCGGAAAGAGAGGCCCCTTGCTGAAGGGGTGTTAGACTGGGACGTGGTAGCGGTTGAGGCCAAATGTGCCTGACAAGGTCAACCTCGAACTCAGGTAGGGGTCCTGTGGTCTCTCAGAGTCATGCTCTCCTGGAGCACTTCTACCTTTTGTGCTGGTAGCAGTTTTTTTCTTGAGATGTTGCATGCATATGAGTGAGCATTCTGAGGCAGCGTCAGGTGAGGACGAGCCAGCCTGAGCCTCAGCTTTGTGACGCCCTTTGCTCTGAGTTGTTGGCACGTGCAGTTTCACAGGTCCAGTGCGGTTCTTTAGTTTGTCTCACTGAGGGAACCCACCCGCCTAACTACCCGCCTAACTAGGCCACGGGAAGGATGAAGCTTGACCTCTGCCGCGCCAAGCTGCTTAGCTTTTTGCCTCAGGCTTACACAAAGCTCCAGTTGCCACGAGATCCAGCATGGATACTGCATGTCATCTAAGCGGGCACCTGGTAGGCATCCCTCCGTGACTGAAGCGCTTCTGACAAAGTTATCTTGCCATGATGCGATACCGGCAAGGTGTATGCCTAACAACCGGTAACCTGACTCTGCAAACCAGCTGCAAGTTACACTCTAGATGCGGGATGCCTGAAGGGTCTGGTACAGAACCGCTGGACTCATGGCTTCAGCCGCTGTTGGCGTCCTGCGGCCTGCTGGACAAGTATGTGCCAGCCAAGGAATGGTGCGAGGCCATGGTTGACAGCTGTGATATTTAGTTTCGATGGTCATACGCTGGTCATACGTCCAGGTGAAGCAGTCTAGTTACAAACGCAAAAGGTATTGGCAAGATGGGTCGCTGCAAAATCTACTAGAAGGGCCGAAGCAGACATGGGAGGTTGTGAAAAGTAATGTCTCTTTTTGGTGCCCTACATGTTAGGGGGAAATTTTCATGGGAAATTGTCAGATATATCACGTATCTTTCAGCTGAGGCCATGGGTGCCGTGGAGGTTGCCGAGGTCATGGGCCAGTGGCAGGGCAATTTCAGATAACGTACAAGCCTTGATAGGTATCCTCATCATTATATCATCATGAAATAGAGGAACCCTAAACCCTGCTCTAATCATGGGGATTTCTCGAAGCTCGGGGCTTCACCTTGTGTGTTTTTCTACGTTTTCGGGGAGTGCGTGGGTGGACCCCAGATCTGCCAAACTCCTGCATTGCTGTTTAGCAATTCTTGCCTTTGACAATCAAATGCAACCAATGCCTAAACCGCTCTGGTCCCTTGAACCTTAAACACCCTCAGCAGGTACAATTCGAAAGTCTATTGCGCATTCCTTCCACCATGCTGTCTACCTAAGCAGGGTTACATAGATCCCTACACCCCCCCCAGACACCCCGAGCAGAGGTGGTGGGACCTGGCAGACCACCTGAAGCTCACAGAGCCGGAGCGCCAGGCTCTGGAAGAGATCTGCCAACCTCGAGGATCTGAAAATCAGTGGCTCTGGCTGGAAGCTGGGATCCTGAGGTTCTCAAGGTATCTAGTCATCTTAGGATGAGGTTTGGGGCCCGGGGCCTGGGGATTTATAGAGGTTCAGGCAAGGCATTAGGTGAGGTTGTTGGGATGACATGCGACATAGAGTTTCAGGTGTCCGGCCGACGTGCGGGGCGGTTTCCGTCTTGGAGAGCTTGAAGCATTGTAACTTGCAGAGGTCTTCTAATTTTTTTGCCACCTCATCCCTCCGTACAAGAGCTTTGCAGCATGTGATCGGTACTTACTTAGGGTCTGTTTCAAAAGGTTTGTTGAGGAAGATCATTTTTCGTGTGGGTCTGGGGCCCAATCAGTAAGCGGTAGCATGTTTGGTCCTGGAGCTTCGATCCTCTTTGTCTGTGGAATGCAACCGGTAACCCTAAGCTCGATATAAGTCTTGAAAGCCTAAAAGAGCCAATGGCACACATTTGACCACCCAGAGGCTTGAAACTCTAAAGTGCACTTCAAGCTGCCGCAATACTTGTTCCTCAACCACATTCAAAGGCCGAAGCCCCCCAAATCCCAACAGTCTCAGAGGTGGCTGTCTCCATGGCTGGACTCTCTACAGCTGGGCCATTACTCAACGGAAGCTCGGAGGCGATCCAGGGCCCTAGAGACAGCGGCGAAGCATGCGAGACTAAACACCTTGCGACCTGTAAGTGTATCTTGAACCCTGAGCCCAGCATTGATACATGTTTCAGGTGGTGTCGACAGATGGGCGCTGCCAGCCTAGAGGAAGTGATGGAACCTGGGCTGCGGTCTGAAAGGCTAGAGATTTAGGCTTCTGTGGGGTGCGTGGTGCCCTGTTTACAAGGGCTGTTTTTGTTGACATTCCAGATCTCGTGCTTGGCTGTTGCCCCTTTGGTAACGATACCTTGTTGGACCCTCATATCACGTTGCACGCAACCCAGGATTGCTGGGAGGTCTTCGCAGCAGATCTCCAGATGGACTGCCTGGAGATCAGGCGTTTAGCGGCCGCAAGTGTAACGGCAGCGGCAGCACCCAAAGCCCGCAGCTGGTCTGGAGCAAAAGCATGTTGGATGGGCCATGCGGGATTCTTATTGTGGTCCCTTGTTGGCGGTATGTCGGATCTCGGGCCTTCATGGGGCTTTCAGAGCATTTAGGCATTGTCTTCATCCCTCGGAGTAGATTGGGGAACCCTACTTTGACCGAACACAAATCAATAAACAGTTCTAGTTCTAGAGCTGTCTTGTAGAGCGTGTCGTGCAAAGACGAGAACTTGTTCAGGGAACAATGTTTCTCCTGTTCACAGCATGTTTGGCCTTGGACACCTGCGTCGCCTGTGCTGCACCCAAACTTGAGGCGCCGCGCCTTCCATTGTCAAGGAGGCGCCCTTTGCATTTCTGGGTGTGATCCTTTGTTCAAACATCATGCCGCATGGATGTTTGCAAAAGTTTGCTTATTCCCTGAGTGCTGTCATGGATTGGGCAACAGCCTTGTGCAGCCACTATGATTGACGCGTGAAGTGCAGCAAGTAACCGGACCCCCTTCTGTCGCCACAGGCTACGCTTCCAGCGATTACAGTCCAAGAGCGCATCGCGGCAATTGAACAAAGCTCTTGCAAACCTCTGAAAATCTTCGGAGGGACTGCAGCGGAAAAGAGCGATTCGCAAGCACTTCAGGCAGCTTCCGTGATTAATTTCTGACCTTATCAGATAAGAACCCTCACTTGCTCTGCCAGAGTTCAGCATGACCCTGCCTACTAAAACCGTTGATCCCTTGACTTTCCCGCACCTGAAGCTTGCCCCTTACTTCCTTAGCACTTAGCCAAGTGACAACCTCTCAAACGGATGCTCTTGAATGCCTCGCCCACAATTACCTAACGAACGGTCCAAGGCAACCCTAGTCGCTTTTAATGTTATCCTCAGCATAATACAAGCTCGAAAGCATTCCAAAAATAGTCCGCAGCACTTTCTTCAAGAATCTGTAGGAACCTGTGTAGGAATCCAACAAGAGGTACCTACATCATAGGAACTCTCCCAAGTAGGCACGGCTGAGCTTGCCAAGGAGGCAACAATTATCCGGCCCGAGCTGCAGATCTTGGCAGCCTGCGCCTGAGTATAGTACAGTATATTAGAGTATAAGTCAAGGCTTCTAGGGCTTTGGAATAAGGAGGAAATTGGTGTATATGTTGGGGTTATATAGGGAGAATGGATAAGAACATGGAAGCTATTATTTTATGATAGTGTATATATTGGGGTTATATAGGGGATATATAGGGATAATGTAAAAACGGAAACTACGATCGTATAATAGGGTATATATTGGGGTAGAATGCCGAGGCTTTGCGGATTGTGCTGCATTTTGTCCATACGCCATTTGAATAAGTGGGTGCCCGCAAAAATCAGGTTCCCATTTCTGGGGCTTGGGGTGCCTCAGGAGGCGAAATTGGA